AACTACAGATGCTGTAAATCAGGAACGAAAACAGAAGTTGCTGGAAAAACTCAGCAGGTCTGGCAGCATCTGTGAAGAAAAAAATCAGAGTCAACGTTTCGGGTCCGGTGACCCTTCCTCAGAACTCATTGCTCTCTTACATTGCTTGTACTGGATTGGCTTCCAGGAGGTACACAGATGTTTTTTTTTAATATTCTGTCCAGTTCTCCTTGTAAGAAGGAGGAGCGAGCATTCAAACTCCTGACTGAGAAAATTAGAAATACTAACAGGGAAAAGTGTGATTACAAAGTGTGGCACCACTGAAGGGAGCTGACACAAATGCAATTGGCTGAAAGGCCTGTTTTGATGATTCCAGCAACTCAAACACTTGGGAAAACGTAGGGAGGTAGCCTCAGTGCAGTGCACCCTGTGACAATTTGTGCAACAGGTCATTTACACAGGCTCCATGAAAGAGAAACCACAACTCCCATGGCTTTCTACTTGATCTGCGTTTCCATCTGAACTTTCAGTTTCTACCGAGTACCCCTGAGTGAGCAGCAGTAAGAGCATGCTTTCATGTGGAGCCCTACAAGTAAATGAGGCCATGCTATGTGATATTGGACAACCTTTTATGACTGAGAATCCAAACTAATTTCTGATTGTGAGCCAGCATCAGCGTGCCAATGCTCAAATCAGCCAGGGCACCTTTAAAGGGGCTGGTTTCGAAGAAGCGGTAATACAGAGAGGTAATGTCACCAATCCAGGGCTCCAGGTGCCAGACTAATGCTCAAGAAGCATGAGTTTATAATCTCACCATGCCAGCTGGGGTATTAAAATTAGGTGAATAAATCTGAAGTATAATTGTTAATAATAATGGTCATGAAACTCCTGGACTATTGTGAGACTCCATCTGGATCTCGAAGGTCGCTCAGGGAAGGAAATTCGGCATTGGAACGGAAAATGATGGAAACGCCGAGCAGGAGGAACTATGCCATTTTACAAGTGATCCCAGACTGACAATAATGTGGGTGACTGGCCTCAGAAATTACGTGACACACCACTCAGCAGGTATCAAGCTGCTACAGCAAAAACACTGTGTGCATATGGCTACCACATGGACTGGAGGGCCTAACAAGGCACCCTCTCAAGGACAATTAGGAATGAGTGATAAATGCAGGCCTTCCCTGCACTGTTCACATCACCAGGAGCAAATAAAAAATACTCTGATGGTGAGCAGTCAGCAGTGAAAAATAATGCACCAAACACTCCTGGAAGCTTCAATTTAAAGTTACTAGATGGAATGAGCTGCAACTGTTCCAGTTTCACAGCAAAATTTACTTTCATGTTATTTTGCCTTATACAGAATCCCTACAGTGTGGAAAGAGGCCATTCAGCCCATACCCTCCAAACAGCATCCCACCCAGACCCAGCCCCGCCACCCTATCTCCATATTTCCCATGTCTAACCCACCTAGCCTGCACATCTCTGGACACTACAGACAATTTGCTGTGGTCAATCCACCTAATCTGCACTTCTTCGGACTCTAGGAGGAAACTGAAGCACCAGATGGAAACCCACACAGACACAGGGAGAACGACAAACTCCGTGCAGATAATTGCCCAAAGCTGGAATCGAATCCAGGTCCCTGGCACTGTTAGGTGCCTCAACTTTGTCTGAAATGGGCAACCCCTTACTCTGAGATCATGTGCTCTGATCCTAGACTCGTCCACAAGGGAAAACAATCTCTCCACATTTATGCTGTAAAGGTTCCTAAAAACCGTACATAGAATCATTGAATTTTACAGAATGGAAGGAAACCATTTGGGCCTATCATGCTTGTACTGGCTCCTGAAAGAGCTATTCAGGTCATCACACACATCAGTTCTATCTCCATAGCCCTCTACATTCATCACTTTCAAATATATATCCAGCTCTCTTTTGGAACTTCCAATGGTATCAGCCTCCACCACTCTCCCAGGCAGCATATTCCAAATCCTCACAACTCTCTGAGTAAAGAAGTGTCTCCTCATCTCATTCTTGGCTCTCTTGCTGACAATTTTGAAACTGTGACCCCTTTGTTACTGTCACATAAACTGGTGGAAACAGAGTGGCCTTTTGTCCCATGTCAAAATTTTTCATCGTTTTGAACGCCTCAATAAGGTCACCTCTTAATCTTCTCTGCTCCAAATGGAATAAATCCAATTTCACTAATCTTTCCTTGTACCTAAAATCGCCCATTCCTGGCATCATTCTAGTAAATCTCCTTTGAACTCTTTCCCGGGCTTTAACAGCTTTCCTTAAATAAGGTGCTTATAACTGAACACAATACCCAAATGTGGTCTGACCAATGGCTTGCAGAGGTGAAACATCACTTCCTTGCTTTTATACTCTATGCCTCTATTTGTGAGCCCTTGGATCCGATAAGCCTTCTTAACAACTGTTTCAACTGACTTGGCCACCTCAAAAGAATTATGCACATGAACCCAGAGGACCCTCTGCTCCTGTACTCCCCTCAGAGTTGTATCATTGAGCCTATGTTGGTTCTCCATGTTTCTTCTACCATTACCTCACATTTCATCTGCCAAGTGTTTGCCCATTTAGCCAACTTGTCAATGTCTGAAGTCACTCAGCATCATTCTCACAATTCACCCTTCTGCCTAGATCAGCATCAGCTGCAAATTTAGAGATGCTTCAATAAGGTCTTCTCTTATTCCTTTAAACTCCAATAAATACTAGGCTAACCTATTAAACTCTCCTCATAAGAATACCTCTCCATACCCAGAACAAGCCCAGTGAATCTTCTCTGGACTGCCTCCAATGCCAGTATATCTTTCCTTAGATAAGGGGATCAAATCTGCTCACAGTATTCCAGCTGTAGTCTGATTAGTGCCTTGTTTTAGAAAGACATCCCTATCTTTATATTCTATTCCCTTTGAAATAAAGGCCAATATTCCATTTGTTTTCCCTAATACTTGCTGAACTTGGATGCTAACATTTTGTGATTCATACATAAGAACTCTAAAAACCTTCTGTGCTGTGGCTTTCTTCAGTCTTTCCTCTGATAAATAATATTCAGCTCTTCTATTCTTCCTGCTAAAATGCATAACTTCACATTTTCCCACATTATATCCCATCTGCCAAATGTTTGTCCCCTTACTTAACCTGTCTATATTGCTTGCAGACTCCATGTTTGATCTTCACTACTTGCCTTGTGACCTATTTTTGTCTCATTTTTAAACCTGCTTATTGCACATTCACTTTCCTCATCTATATCATGAATGTAAATTGCAAATAATTGTGAGTCCAGTATGATCCCTGTGGCACACCATTAATTACAGTTTGCCATCTTGAAAAGGCCCCCCTTATCCCAACTCTCTGTCTTCTATTAATTAGCCAATACTCTATTCAAGTTCATATTCTACATGTTTTTCCTATAACACCAGAAATGATTTTTGACAAAATTCTAATATCAAAACAGCCAAAAAAAGACGAAATCAATTTTCCCTTTTGATAGGATGTAAAAGCATTATCATATTGAATTTTGCTCTTTACCAACTTTTCTCAGTTTCATTTTGGTACTAAATGTCGCTTTTAGACATGTTCTACTTTTTTTGTTTGATTCCTTCAATGGATTTTTGACCTTTTTATACCAGAGTAGACCAGACTGAAGTCCAAAATAACCCCAAATAGAGAGTGAAAAAATGATCTCTGTACTTGCTTTTCTAATTTAAGACTAAGTTGAGGAGAAATGTATTTGCTCAAATCTTTAAATCTTTGGAGTTCTCCACCCAATGTGTTTGTATATGAGCCATTACTGAATATTTTTTAAGGCTGGGATAGACAGATCTCTTAGTATCTCAGGGAGTGGAGAGATATGAGCTATTACAGAAGAGAACAAATTTGCCCAACAAGGAGGTTTGAGGTTGAGGCTATTATCGGAGGATTCAAAGCTGGATGAGGACAGCTGGTGGAGGGTATGTTACAATATGTGTAAATTACAGCAGTAGATTCACTCTGGGACTTCACTCATCCCTCACTTTAGCTTGAATCTGCTCTCTTGGTGAGCTTGGCCTCTTTGGAATGACTTGCCTTTTTACAGCTACAACTCTCACTCACTGAAGCTCATCTTTCTCTAGTTTCCTTTTCTCATTCTACCTGTGCAGAACAGTCAGTGCTAATTAGAATCACATTTATATCACTTCCCTGGAAGTTGTTGTGAAGACAGCTTTTTGTTTACAACACGTAGTTCAGAAATTGTGAACAGTACCTTATTGCCATGCTGCCTTAATGGCAGATGGATATGGCAAAAAGTGGACCATCATTTCCAAAAGAAGCTGGGGTGGCTCGGTGGCTCAGTGGTTAGCACTGCTGCCTCACAGCACCAGGGACCTGGGTTTGATTCCACCCTCGGGTGACTGTTTGTGTGGAGTTTGCATGTTCTCCCTGTGTCTGTGTGGGTTTCCTCCCACAGCACAAAGAAATGCAGGCTAGGTGGGTTGGCCATATTAAATTGCCCATAGTGTTCAGGGATGTATAGATTAGGTGGGTTATAGGGGAATGGTTCTGACTGGGATGCTCTGAGGGTCAGTGTGGATTTGTTGGGTCAAAGGGCCTGTTTCCACACTGTAGGGATTCTATGAAGGAAGTATATCAATGAGGTACATGACATCTTGTGTTTTGGGGAAATGGGAACAGTAATGAGCTGGTATTATTGCCCCATCCTACTGGCCTTCAGTCATGTATAGTCAATTGTATGTTGTAGGCTTGGAGTCACACATAGGCCCAACTAAGTAGTTGCAGCAGGATTACATCGCTGAGCCGGATGAATGATTATGCAGCTTTCATGGCCATTTTCCACGGTGAGAGCTGGCCAGTTTGATCCAGTGTACTTGTCAAAATTGTCAGGGTGGGTGTTAAACTCTTAATCTTTTGAGTTGCTAGGCCAGTAGCATAGCCACTGGATTACCAAAAACACACAGATGTAAAGAATCATGCAACGCAAAGTGAAGTTTTCGTTTTACCTGGTCTTGTGTACTCATCAGCCTCTCTGTGAACCAAGTCTTTGACCCTGTTGCCATACAGGAGTCTTGTATCGTGATCATAGGCTTTAAGTGTTTCGCTGGAGCTGTAGGATTTCTGAGTGGGTACTCGGCAATCGTCGTTGTCTACTGACGAGCTTGTGAAGCGACGCTCCTTATCGCGCCTGTTTTTCGTTAGGGAACAGTAAGGCCTACGTTCTTTCACATCCATACTTCAGGCATTATGTGTCCAACCTTCCCCTTGTCTCACTCTAATCTCCTTTCGATGCTCAGCTCAGCAGGACCTGCACGAGACAAAATAAAACATGATCAAAAAGACAGCAAACACCTCTTGCCTTTGCCTTCACTCACTTTTTCATGACTCCTTTTCGACATTGCTCAGAGTCCACACGTTTTCTGGAAGAATAATTCAGAAGGCATCGTCTCACAAATGATTCAGTGAAATGTGAAAACTATGGATCTATTTTCTTCACATTTAAATTTCCCCCAAGACTGCAACAGCACCTGCAAAGTACATCCCTGAGATAGTTAACAGATTAACCAGAGTTTCTGCTCTCTTCTCCGTGTTTACATTTGTAGCAGCTGAGAAATGCAATGAAAGTAAGGAATGGCAAGGCAGGTGAAAAGATTAACAAATGAAACAGACCACTTCCATTTTTATGGCGACAACAATGGGAAGTCATAGAGAGATGGGAAAGATGGGCCTCAGCTCCTGTGTTGGCTTGGCTCCAATGGAGCAGGTTTAGTACCGTTTCCATGACAGCAGTTATCAAATTAAGTTGGCTTCACAGCTGTCATTCAAAAACACGCATGCTCACGACAGGATCAAAATAAAAGTGTTCACCTTTTTGTCACTAGAACACATCTGTGTTTCCCAGTTTGTGAATTGTGGGACAGTCTTGGAATTTGATTAACAAAGTCCAGTACCAATACAAAGTTGATGCGATTAAATTTAATGGAAATTATCTACCCTCTTATTCCCACTCCCACAATTGTAACTCTACATGGCATCCTCCTGCATACTGGGGGTAGCTGGACTATTTTGGAAGTCTGTGCTGGTTTTTAAGGTGACTGATAATGTGTGTGGCTGGATGGTCACCCAAGACATGATGTTAAAAGACAAACTGCTTTTGGAAGCTACTTGAGCAGGCTTGCTTATAAAGGTAAATAAGGTCAGGTATTTAATCGTCCCCTGAAAATCTGGGCTGACAGTTCTGACAGAGTTCCTGGGCTCATGTCCTATTAGTTGGCACATTATTGATGAAGCTGTTCACTGACTTTTTACATCACTAACCTAATGTAAAATCACCAAAGATAAACTGCCTGAAGTGGTACTATATGCTTTTATTAACTAAGTAGAACATTGAACAATTTTCCTAAACAATATTGATACTACTGACTTCCATCTATTTGTTTTCTTTGACCTAATTGCATTGTTATTTGTGATATGTTGTGACTCCAGTCACATCTGGCCAAGTGATATGTTCTTGAACTTCAAGATAAATTTGATAAAGTTTTGCATTAGGAATCAATAGTAACAGAGGAGATGGCAGTACAAGTCAGAAAATAAATTCCAACAGCTGCCATGAGCAGTGAGTAACGGAAAGTAATATTAATTATTATTATTTTAATAATTACTTTTAACTGGGCCAATGAATGGCAGATATAGTTCAGTATTGTTAATTGTGAAGTAGTCATAATGGAAGTGCAAAGCCACCTATGACGATACTGAAAAAACTCTACAGAGGCTGGTATCTCATCATCAAGTCACCCTTTATTTATATTGATTTGTACATTGTAATTGATATCTACTTGACACTGATCTGGCTTCCTCAGAACCAGCTCTCAGAGTCAACAGAACCTCTGACACTCTTGTTTATATTGGTCAGCCAGGGCTCCCTGATTGGACCAGGGTAACAGTCCCAATCAGGGAACTCATATTCTATGAGGTCCACCAGGCTGACCTTGTTACAATCACTACAGACACAACAGTGGTCTGGATCTTCAAAACAGTGGCAATAGTTGCTCATAAATTCCCTCAATCCAACCCTGGTCTGCACTTTCTGGGAACATCTCAGCCTGGATTTACCACAAATTCGCTGTGTAATGTCCAAGGGGAACTCTACTGGTTCACCAGGATGAATGCAATCCCTGCTATGGAGGGATTGTCTCAAGAGCAAAGGCTAAACAGGTTAGGACAATACTCACTGGAATTTAGAAGGGAGAGATCTCATTGAAGCTTATCAAGATTCTTAAGGATCTCAAAAGGGTAACTAGTGAGAGGATGTTTCCCCTTATGGAAGAGTCTAGGATCAGAGGGCATAGGCTCAGAATAGACAGATGCCAATTTAAATCTGAGATGAGGAGGAATTTCTTCTCTCAGAGGCTCCTGAGTCATTAGAACCCCTTGTCACAGCGAGCTGTGGGGACATCTGTATATATTTAAGGCTGAGACATTGATATATTCTCGATCAGTTAGGGAATCAAGGGTAATGGGAAAAGGGCAGGTGAGTGGGTGTGAGGAATGTCAGATAAGACATAATCCTATTGAATGACAGAGCAGGCTTGAGAGGCTATTCCTGTTCCTACCGTTTATGGTCTGATGGTAATGGAGTAGAGTTGGGGAAAGACAGAATGTAAACCCATTATGTGGCATGAGATGACGGGTGGAAAGTTTCAGTGAACAGTCTTTCAATGCCAGTGAATCGTTTAGTGTTTGGGTTGTTGGGTTAGGTCAGGAGAAAGATGATTAGGTTGGTAGGGTGGACAGGATTAGTGGGTAGGTGAGCAGGGTGTGTGAGATTGGTGGCGGGTGGGAAAGGTAAGTGGGTATAAGTGTGGGGTTCGGGGGTGAGGTGGTATGTTGGGGATCGTCAGGTGGTCAGGGAAGGGTGGTCAGGTCAGGGGGTAGACAGGTCAGCTTGTGATGCAGTCAGGTTGAGAAGTAGAGTCAGGACCAGTGGGGGTTTAGTGAGGTGGTCAGGATGTCAGGGGTTAATCAGGGGTTGAATGGGTATTCAGATCAGGGTGGTATATTCAGGAGGTAGGGGTAGTCTAGGTATCAGTTTGACTTATGCGAGACTCTGGCAAGATTTTAATCTGTGTATCATTTGCTGCCTAAGTGCAAGGGTTCCATTCAGCTTAGTCCAATGCCTCGAGCTCACAGTTTGACCACATTCACAGACTCACAGGAAGCAGAGAAATTGCACCACGGAGGTTGAAACATTCAGAGGCAAAAAGATCTTGCCCGCCTGTATAATTCCCTGAAATGTATTAGTACAGCAGAGTTTGTTTCAACCAGCACTTTAAGAACTGACACGATTGATAAGCCACCAAAGATTATATACTTCAAATACTGCAAAGCCAATTCTTACAGTTTTTAAAATTCGTTTACCTCAGTGTAAATATACTTATTCATTCGAATGGCCACATGAAATATCAACAGTTGATTCAATTTTGAGTCAGTTGCTCCCCAGATTACCACAATCTCCGTGATACAGTCAGTTGAGAGTGCAAGAGAAGGCTCTCTGCCCATAAGTTTTATTTAAGGCAAGGTTGCATTATTACTAGTGATTTATGCTGTAAATTATGTATAACAGTGATGTGTATACCCCCTGCAATACTTTTCTATCACTTAGTGTGTGTATTTACTTTGATTATGTGGAACTCTTGATTATCTGGAATATTGATCAACCAGCTCACTCCTGGTCCCTTAGGTGCCGGTTAATAAAAAGTTTGCAATGTAAGTCTTAAACCGAGAGATACAGCTACTTGGCACATTTGCGTGAGAGCTCAGTCAAGCCAATCATTTGCGGAAAAACATAGCTTAATTTTTCATCTAATGAATAGATTTATGTTTTCCCAGTGACACATCAAAGAAGAAAAGGCTGAAAATTTAGCAGCTGCGGGTGGAGTTGTAATACTGGTATAGAGGCTTACAACAACTGGTCGAGTATAGGGCAGTGACAAGACTCTTCATGGATAGGAAGTGAATAGAGTACCACAAAGCCAGATCTGTTTTAAACAATTTCACTGCTAGCATTCCATTTTTCCCGGAGACTTAATTACAGTCAACATTTGGCATCTTTGAGAATTAATTATAGCTGTGATGAAGTCTTCAAGTCAGACAAAACATTGATCATAAAATTCACTGAAAAAATGCATAGAGAACAGCTTATTGAATCCATCATCTATGAGACAGCTTGATTCACCGTCAACTTAAATCTGCATTTAATGACACTTATAAGTGAGCAATCAGCTTTTGTCCTACCAGCACAGTGATCGTATATACCCTTGAGTACTCAACTAAGAAAACAGTCTGTGGAGGCAACAATCAAAGAAAGGTCTGAAGGCAGATTGTCTCCTGTGTTTCCTGCCAACAAGCATAATTTGTTAAGGATTCGAAGATTGAGTTGGATAAAGCTGAAAGTGGAGCCCAGCACTCTGGTTGGGCCCCTCCCCCAGCAGAAGCATGTCAGGATCCTGTTGTTCTCACGCTCCACCTCGCCAGCCTCTGTAACCAAGGAATTTCCCATTGTCATCACTTCCAGTCTGATGCTACCACCAAACATCTCTCCCTTTCTAACATTCTGAAGGAACCGTTGCTACACACAAAACCTGGTCTACCTGTCAATAAGCCCCAGTGCCCACTCCTTTTCTGACAGCCAGAGATTCCACTCTCCCTTCTCACTGCCCAAGGCCCCCAAACACTCCTTCCAAGTGAATCAGCAATTTACTTGGGTCTTTTTTCAATCTACTTGAATACATCTGCTGCTCACCATGTGGTTCCCAGTATGTTGTGCAGAACAAGCACAGATTGGGTGACCACCTGGGGGAACACCTCTATTCAGTCTACAAGAATGACTGCTAAGCTTCTTACTGCCTGTCCACCTGATTCCACTTTGATCTTGATGATCTTGGCTGTTACAGTGTTACAAACATGTTCAACCCAAGCTCAAGGAACAACATCTCATTTTTCAACTCAACACTTTACAGCATTTGGGAATTTAACAATTTTAGATCACAACCCCTGTCCCCATCTTATTTTGTGTTTTTTTCTAAATTAATTTCATTACTTCGCATCTGGATGATTGTCACTCACACCTCACCGAGATACATCATTTTTTGTTCCATTATAACTCCCTGTAGCTTTTCAACATGAAGCCTTTCTTTTAGATAATTGCACCACCCAAGCTCAGACCTTCCCTTTTGTTCTTCCTCTTGCTTTCCGCCTTTTCACTTGCTAAAAATATTACACTCTTCCCACGTCTGGTGAAAGATCACA